GGCCTACACCTGTAATCCTAGCACTCTGGGAGGCTAAGGCATGAGGATCACTTGAGGTCAAGAGTTTGAAACGAGCCTGAGCAAGAGTAAGGCCCTGGCTCTACTAAAAATAAAAACATTTCAGAGGACAAGATGAAGGGTGTAGAGAGGTACAGGTGTGGCTGAGAAAGGCTAGCAGACCAGGCCAGGCTGGCCCAGATCATAAGGGAGCCAAGGACCCAAGCTTCCGCTGTAGGCAGGCCAAGCAAATGTAGCCCTGAGAGCAGAATCCCCTTTCAGGTGAGGAATGGGGTCTCCAAATAGCCCTCAGGTGGGCTTCCCCCTCCTTCGCTCCCTCACCACTGGAGGAAGTGCTGAGGCAGAAAGGGCTGCCCCCAGCAGCAGCCAGAGCTGCTCCTGTCCAGGCTAAGCCCATCCAGTGTGGCCCTGGAACTGTGACTTCTCTCTCTGCCTCAGTTCCTCCTCTCCAGCAGGTGATCATAATGACAGGCCTTCATAAGCCTGCTTGGAGACTGAGTTCTAGTCAGTGTGGCAGGAGGGGTGGGGTCTGGCACAGAAGCACTCACATGTCATCACTGCTGCCGGTACAGCCCCAGGGAAACCTGGGGCGCAGAGGCAGGGCCAGCTTGGTGGTACCCAACTCCCTTGCTGTGGGGTTCTCAGGACGGGTCTGCATGCCGCCTTGCCAAACACCCCCAGCCCAGTAGGCAGCATGAATGGTGCGCCTGCTGGGCAGCCAATGCCCCACATCTGCCGGTGCTGCAGCCCACCACTGGATGCGACCTTAATCTAGGGGAGGGGTTCTCAACCCAGGGGTCGAGGCACACTGTGTGCACAAGAGGGTCTTAGGTGTGCTTTAAAAAAAATGTTTGTCTGTTTGTTTTTGAGGTAGAGTCTCATTATGCTGCCCTCCATAGAGTGCCATGGCATCACAGCTTATAGCAAACTCAAACTCTTTTTTTTTTTTTTTTTTGAGACAGAGCCTCAAGCTGTCCCCCTGGGTAGAGTGCCATGGCATTACAGCTCACAGCAACCTCCAACTCCTGGGCTCAAGCGAGTCTCCTGCCTCCGCCTCCCAAGTAGCTGGGACCACAGGCACCCGCCACAACGCCCGGCTATTTTTTGGTTGCAGCCGTCATTGTTGTTTGGCGGGTCCGGGCTGGGGATTCGAACCCGCCACCTTAGGTGTACGTGGCTGGCGCCTTAGCCGGTTGAGCCATAGGCGCCGAGCCGCAAACTCAAACTCTTAAGCAATTCCCTTGCCTCAGCCTCCCAAGTAGCTGGGACCACAGGGGCCCGCCACAATACCTGGCTATATTTTTGTTGCCGTTGGCATTGTTGTTTAGCTGGCCTGGGCCAGGTTTGAACCCACCAGCCTTGGTGTATGTGGTTGGTGCCCTAACCATTGTACTATGGGCACTGAGCCAGCTTTGAAATTTTTTCAAGATTAATGAAATTATTATTATTATTTTTATTATTTTTTGAGACAGTCTCAAGCTGTTGCCCTGGGTAGAGTGCCGTGGCCTCATAGCTCACAGCAACCTCCAACTCAGGCTCAAACAATCCCCTTGCCTCAGTTTTTCTATTTTTTATTTTTATTTTTTTATTGAGCCAGAGTCTCACTTTGTTGCCCTCTATAGAGCACCATGGTGTCATAGCTCACAGCAACCTCAAACTCTTGGGCCCAAGAAATTCTCTTGCCTCAGCCTCCCTGTAGCTGGGACTACAGGCACCTGCCACAATGTCCAGCTATTTTAAATTTTTGTTTAGCAGGTCTGGGGTGGGTTCGAACCCACCAGTCCCTGTGCATGTGGCCAGCACCCTAACAACTGAGCTATGTTTGCCCGTTTTTTTCTATTTTTAGTGGAGACAGTGTCTTGCTTTTGCTCAGGCTGGTTTCAAACTCCTGAGCTAAAGCAATTCACCCGCCTTTTGCCTCCCAGAAGTGCTAGGATTACAGGTGTGAGGCACCCTGCCCAGCCTCATTTATTTTTTTTAGACGGAATCTCACTTTGTCACCCTCAGTAGAGTGCTCTAGAGTCATAGCTCACAGCAATTTCAGACTCTAGGGCTCAAGCAATCCTCTTGCCTCAGCCTCCCAAGTAGCTAGAACTACAGGCACCCACCATAATGTGCAGCTATTTTTTAGAGACAGGGTCTCACTCTTGTTTAGGCTGGTCTTAAACTTGTGTGCTCAAGCAATCCACCCACCTTGGCCTCCTAAAGTGGTGGGGTTACAGGTGTTAGCCACCAGACCAGCCTTTAGGAAATGGTTAAGACTTTCCAGGTGGATGATGTTCTGGCAGTAGATACTTTGTTTAACAAATAGTCCAAAATGCCATTCAGGCCTAACACCAAGAGAAAATTATAAAAGACTATTTTTAAGCAACAGACTTTCTTTTTCTTTCTTTTTAGATGGTATCTTGCTCCATCACTCTAGGTAGAGTGCAGTGGCAAAGTATTAGCTCACTACAACTTCAATCTGCTAGGTTCAAATGATCCTCCTGGTTCAGCTTCCCAAGTAGCTGAGACTACAGGTGCTCAAAACCATGCCTGGCTAATTTTCTCCACTTTTAGTAAGGACAAGGTCTTGCTCTTACTGAGGTTGTTCTTGAACTTTTGAACTCAAGGGATCCTCCCACCTCGGCCTCCCAGAGTTGTTAGGATTACAGGCCTGAGCCACCACACCTGGCTTGAGTACTGGACTTTCTGCCCAAAAGGAGTAACAGCAAAGTAGGCAAAGAGATTGGACCCAGCCTAGTTTCCCTGGCACAGCAAGTACACAGCCCTGGGGTAAGATGAGAAACAGGTGAGCCAGGCAAGGCCAGGCCCGGCCAGGCCCGGGCAGGCAGGCCTTCCATCCGAGTAGAAGCAAAGCTATCGTTAATAGTCAAGGGAGCTTGTCTAAGAACATGATCTGAGCAGCCACTGTCCGATTTGTATTTGGGGTAGAACAGTCTGTCTACATTGTAAAGAATGGATTTAAAACAGGCAATAACAGGCTCGGTGCCTGTGGCTCAAGCTGCTAAGACGACAGCCACATACACCTAAGGTGGCGGGTTCGAATCCAGCCTGGACCCGCCAAACAACAATGATGGCTGCAACCAAAAAAAAATAGCCGGGCGTTGTGGCAGGCGCCTATGGTCCCAGCTACTTGGGAAGCT